ATATACAAATATTAATATAATAAATACGATATAAATGTTATGAATAATATTTATATTAGTATCTATTAAACATTATTATTATTTAAATATATAAATATTTTGAGATCATTCATGATGGAAAAAAAATATGAATGGAACTACATAAAATATATTGTTAAAAAAACACATTATATTTAACAAAAAGAAATCAATACTATATATATATATATAATTTACAAAGTTAGTTTAGAAATATTTGTATGCCAGAAGTAAAAAAAATAAATAAAAAAAATAATTTAATATAGTACATGTAATAAATATAACAGCAATATTTGTCTACACACACTTTAAAAGATTAAAATTCATGCAAAATGTGGTGACTTCTTTTGAAAACTTCACTGACTAAATATAAAGCTGTTAGGTAACACTGATGTTCCTAATGTTGTTTCATTTTATACTGTCAATAAAAATTATCCCAAATACAACTATTATTTGATATATTGCCTATGTCAGTGCCCACCTACAGAATACAATTAATTTTCTTACTGAATATTAACAAAATGTCCTTAAATATTGGTAGGACAGTCTTGTGTATAGAGACTTTGTGTGACGTAACTGACCCTATGAATGTATACTGTGGCGGCGCCTGTTTAGAGCGTCCTAAGATACGGATATCACAGATGGCAGCTTCAGTGGAGTCTCTCGGGATGAACTTAATACATAACCTCCTCTTCCTGAACGCCGGCTCCTCTGGAGAGAGAAAGAGAGGAACGGGGCATGTTGAAGAAAGTGAAAGGGAGATGGAGTTTACAATAGAAAGAGAAAAGAGACAGAACGAGGTCAGCGCTGGAATTAAAAGAGGATCATTTCACACAATCGATTAATTATTTAACACAAGATAGAAACTGAATCCACAAGCTTTTAAAACGCCACATATCAGGCTGCATGTGTAAAAGAAAATACATTAGTGGAAAACAAACTTCTTTTAATTCCAGTCTAGAGTGTCACTTATTTATTTAAGCTATAACAATGCATTTCAACTATGAAAAAAAAACTAATAAATATGGTTTTAAGGATGCAGCTGTAGTGTTTAGGGTGAAATAGCTGGAGAATGCAGCTGCAAATGAACGAGAGGGGATACATGCTTACGTGTGTCCACAGTTTCCTGAATGGGAATGAATCCCACAGGCAGCGTGTCCTTGATGTCGATGAGCTTCATGTCTACAAGCACATTTCCTAAATGACTCTGTGGAGAGATACAGGAAGCACATATAGGGAAATGTGAGCAGAAACATCTCTACTGGTGCCCTTGTTTGCATGCTTTAGGAATTAACATTATAACTATAAGCATAGTAATAATAAAAACAATGTCAGTCATGTTTTTTTGTACCAAAAATTTAGATTTTGCACAACCAATTTCCACCCTCTGTCTAACTCTTACAATAAAACAGGCTGTTTGTTACTTTCAAAACAGAATAGTTTACACTGAGGAAGAATTGCATAAACTATTTTCCTGTTTAACACTGGAAAGCAGCTTTGGCACAATCTGTATTGTATAAAGGTGACTACACTGTCATATGTCAGGGCAGTTCAAGGCACTAAATAGGTGTTGATGTGTCATGACTGATAGTCATACGTTCATTGTGGATGCATCACAATGCATCGATTTAACAAAACTTAATTGCATCAATTCTAACAGTCTTGTCTTTTTATTGCAAAGTATAATTTCAAAAATTCTTATTTATTTCTTTTGAGTTTGTACTGAATTGTATTACATGGCTTGCTTTATACTTGCCATGTAACATTATTCAGTACAGGATGTCCTGTGTTTTTTCCCAAAAGATTTGTTTTTTTGGGTCAAAATGATCTGCGGTATGACTTCATCAAGACTAAACTTTACAATAAACAACAGCTATTTAACCAATAAACATTAAAGCAGGAAAAAATAACACCATAAACATTGTTTTAAAGTTCTTTCCGCTTGAGGTTTGTCCTAGAAAGAAGAATGAGACTAAACACCACAGGGACGGCACAAGCAGAAACAGCTTTGTTTTCATGAACAAAAAGAAACTGTATATAAAAAATAAGTAGACGAGATCCTGTGACACATTCCAGAGAGCTCCTCAACTCCAGCAACACATTACATTATATAAACACTCCAGCATGAACATGTTCTGGATCTTTTAAACATCCATCCATTTTTTGGCCTTCAAACTGAAGTAACTCTTACTGATAGGGTAGGGTAGGGTAGGATAGGATAGGATAGGATATAGTGTTGGGCGATATGCTCAATTTTCATATCGTCCTATCGTCAGCCTGTGAGATCGCCGATACACGATATTATCGTGCTAATTTATGTAATTATTTACTTAGTTTCATTGCGAGAAAGTGAACCAACTCCAGCGTAAGGCTAAAAGCAGCCTAATGTTTTTAATATGACTGAATTTGTATTTAACATGATAACAAATTAATAGAAACATTGTAAGTTACTAATTATAATTCTTACATTTCCTCAGTTATTCAAAAAGCAGCTACAGAAAACGAGCAAAGAACATTACATTACCAAAGAACATCATCACAAGCTCAGTCTAGCGTGTTATGCACTTTAAAAACACTCCCGTTAAACTCAGTGAATCTACACTATGTGATGAATAAATCTCTTATACTTACATTGCACGTACATCTGCACTTTGTTGTTTATAATGAGAATTTGCGAGTCAGAATTCAGTCAGCGCGCGCGGAAACAACAGAACTCCGCTGTTTCAGTGATGACTCATCTGAACGCCTCTGATTGGCCATTGCATTCATAAGCTCAGCATAATCGTGTGTGATTGGTTAGAACACGCAATACTGTAAAAACGTGGAAAAAGAAATATAATGCAACAAATAAGCCCTTATATTAATTAGATAATATTACTAGCCTGATAATAATAATAATAATAATCGTCTTGCTAACGTCAAAGGCATCAGCCACAGGCGATATCTCTGTCTATCGTTGATACACGATACTATCGTCTATCGGCACAACCCTAATAGTATGTATACTGTAGAATAGGATAGGACAGGATACTGTAGGATAGGATAGGATGCTGTAGGATAGGATAGGATAGGATACTGTAGGATAGGATAGGATGCTGTAGGATAGGATAGGATACTGTAGGATAGGATAGGATGCTGTAGGATAGGATAGGATACTGGAGGATAGGATAGGATACTGTAGGATAGGATAGGATGCTGTAGGATAGGAATAGTATGTATACTGTAGAATAGGATAGGACAGGATACTGTAGGATAGGATAGGATGCTGTAGGATAGGATAGGATAGGATACTGTAGGATAGGATAGGATGCTGTAGGATAGGATAGGATACTGTAGGATAGGATAGGATAGGATAGGATAGGATAAGATGAGATAAAAAAACAAAAAAACAAGCAATAAATATTAAGGATGTAAATTTTAATTAAAATGTTTTTTTATATTAAGGAAATTATTAAGCATCCATCTAGAAGCATCACAGGAATGCTGTATTCATGAATCAGCATCTAGGACTAAAAATATCAATTTGTAAAATCAGGGCTCTAGACTGCGACCAAAATGGTCGCATTTGCGACACGAGCACGAGCGCGAAGGTGAGCCCAGCGGACGGAGCGCAACGGAGGATTCGGTTTTCAAGCTAAAGTAAAACACCGCTTAAACCAGAGAAGGTGAACATGTTGGCATTCTTGTGGGAAAAAAAACATTTAAAACCTGTCAGCAACAGCCAGTTTAGTTTGACTTTTCTTTTTGTTTTCATTTTAAAAAGCCTTTTATCTTTGCTGTTTACCTCACGGTACGCTATGGAGGCTTTCTTTCTTTATTATTATAATTTTTTTTTTAAATGTATTTGATTCCTCAGTGTTTGCTAAACATTCTGTAATTCATCAATACAGCACGTGGTGTAGCTATGCCATGCCTCATCTTATTCATTTTTGTTAATAAACATTATGTAAGCTAGTTTGTCATTGTAACCTACTGTTTTATTACTTTTGCGCTTTTTAATTAACAGTAACAATGAATCCATCTTTTGTTTTAGTCTTAAAAAGTGAAAGGTATAGATATAAGCAAAACAGACAATTATCTTTTTTTGTAAAACATGACAAGATCGCGAATTTGAAAGTGAAAGTGAAAGCGCACAAAGCCCGGGTTATAACACAGCAAATGAGGAACAAAATTTAAATCATAAATAATACTACTGATGAAAAAGAACAGGTTGAATGTTGAACACTTTCGTTACCATATAACTATAAACTATGATAATAGTTCATCAGCATGCATTAATCCCATGTTTTTTAATCCCAAAAAAACAACAACATTGTGACCAAATTATGTGCTCGTAGGGCTGTGACAGTATGGGATTTTTCTTACCGCGGTGAAGACGCAACAAATCACTGCGGTTTGGCGGTTAATCGCAACCCCCCTCCCCCTCCCGCCGCAGAAATATAATGATTTAAGAATGCATGCAGCTTGTAAATGAACATGGAAATGAATAATAATAAAGCAGTCTTCTTTATTATTAAAACAGCAAATTATGTGAACAATAATAAAATAAAATTACATTTATTTCAACTTTGTTTTTTCGATATCTTTTGAGTTTAATAGGAATTATGGAACAGTTTTTAATAATTTAACAGCAAATTATCATTAATATTATTTAACTTAATAAGGCTACATTTATAACAACATTTTTAAAAGTGGAACATAAAAGTGTTTGAATCTGATTTGGGTTTTTCAAAGTGCAACACAAGGGAACATCAGGAACATCATTGTTAAACTACTGGGCCGCTTAAGTGAATCGGCAAGTCCTGCTGCTTTATTTTTCGGTCTTCAAGTTTCTTGCCAGGAAAACCAACATGTTCACTTTGTCTGGTTTCAGCGAAGATCTTAACGGAGTGACAATGTTGCCTTCCGCACTGAATACACGCTCCGAGGGAGCGCTCGTAGCGCATATAGTCATGAAAGTTAGTCACAAAAGAGCGACCAGTGGGAAGAATGAGTCTAGAGCCCTGAAAATGTAACCATACTTCAAAGAAACCTCCTCAATTATCTGATTAAGAGCAGAAGAAATGACTCACATTCTCTTTGGAGAAAGCCCTGGTGAAGCACAGATAGCGGGTCACCTTGGATTTGAACAGGCCGTCTTTCCACAAGTCTGCATCAATCCCATCTGTGGTTTGTGCAACCTAAAAGGAATGAAAAGATTTGATAAGTATTATAAAAGTGTTTTTCCCCAATTTGCTGAAGGTCACTTGTTTGATTCTTTTGGTTTATCGGAGTAAAGAACGTCTTAAAGAAAAAAATAATAATTCGTACTGCATGACAATACTGCAATACTGCAGCCAATACATCACAAAACTTTCATTCACATTTATAATCATCAGAAAACGGACCTGATTTAGTCCAAAAAGTGTCCCTAATTAAGGATTCCAAAGTAGGCTGTATATTTATAATGTACTTCAATTAGCTTCTAAAGGGCTTCTGGGAAATTCCTACCCTCAACAGATCAAGCTCTCAGAATGGCTATTAAAACTTTTTGGAGAAGTTATGTCTCTAAAATCTGGTTAGCGCTAGCTGTACAGTGCAGTTCTCAGTCTGATGTCCATCTCAACAGCAGTCAACACGCATGATTAACAGCTTGAGCTGCCCACACAAACAGCCACCCATCAGTTGTGCCATGGCAACTGGCTTCCCACGAGCCGCTCGACAAACACTGAGCTGCTAGATTTGACACCAGTGTTAAAGAAAGACTGCCGTCTGAAATGACACAGCATTAGGTCTTAGGACTGGACATGAAAATGCACTCATTTGTACACCAATTTTTACCTTTATTTATATAGCACTTTATACAATAGATTGTGTCAAAGAAGCTTTACAGTGTTAAACAAGAAAATAATGTTTCAATAATGCAAACAAAATTCAATTCTGCTGTAAAGCAGCTCTAAAAAGAGGACAACAGCAAAGAGTCAATTTTTCAGTTAAAGTCAGTTCATTGTTGATCGCTGATTCAGTGATGTTATCATTCAGCTCAGTTCTCTTCCAACAGTGTCTGTGCAATCAAGTTGAAATATTGCCAAATATTAAGTGTCCTCAACTAAGCAAGCCAAAAGGTGACAGTGGCAAAGAACCCAAACTCCATCAGTGAAAAAAATGGAGAAGAAAAACTTTGGGAGAAACAGGCTCAGTCGGAGGGTCAGTCCTCCTCTGGACAGACGAAACAGCATGAAGATAAGAGTATAATATGAGATAAAATACAACAAGAGAATGCACAGAAAAGAAGTCTGGGGGATATACATTGGGATCCAAATGTTAAGACTTGAAATTTGGGATTTTTTTTTTCTTATTTAAACTGGAAAAGGAATTAGAAAGAAATTAATAAGGAATATTTCAGATTCTTCACTATTTCTAAGCGACTGAAATGTAAGGAAATTTGTGACCCTGATCATGTGAATTCATTTAGATGTTCTTGCTTTTGTTAAAGCTCAAGATGCTCTTTGAAAAATCTCAAATCATGCTGGAGAACATGATCGTCATGTTTTGTTCATCTAGCTTCAGTTCTGCTCCCATTAAAGCAAAACAGACACAATCCAAATACTGAGAAATGATCAAACTCAAGTCAATTTTGAATAAAAAAATTTCACTCACATTCTAATGCAGATAATAATTTGTAATGACAAAAATAATAAATTAACTTAATTTTAACTTTTAATTCAAATGATATAAAATAGATATATAAATAGATATATAAATACAAAAAAACATACAAAAAAATACAAAATGTGTATAGACCTCACTGAAAAGAGTCTTCAGACTCTCCGCCCATTACCCACTTGGCTTTGTGATACAAATTGCTGGCCTCATTTTTGAATGCATGAATGATGCATTTATATAGCGCTTTATTGTGTATTGCTGTACACCCAAAGTAGGGCTGTGCAAAAAATCGAATGCGATTTACTAATCACCAGAAGCGGCTTTACTGACGAGATTCGCATGAAAATTGCATTCGATTTTTTTGCCCAGCCCTAACCCAAAGCACTTTTACAATCATTTTTTCCAGGTCAGAGCACACAGCATCATGCAAAAGTAGTAAAAAAAAGGAGGAGACATAAATTCAAGGCCAGCGGGTAAGAGCTGGATTAAAGGTAAAGTCAAGGCTTGCTAAAACGGTCTCTGTATTTCCTGTTTGCCGTTTAATAAAATGGTAAAATTGCTTTTTCATTGACCTGCTCGGTTTGTTTGTTTGTGTGTGTTTAACGCTATTCCAGCTTCTGTGGCTATTTTCATGACGAGAAAGATTATGGCTGAATTATATCATGTTTTTATCATTTATTTTTGCTAAAAACTCCAAAACTGTATTTGGCTTAACTCTAAAAAAACGTTCTCAATGAGTTAAAACCAGCACAATCTAATAAAACATGCTTAATGGATAAAGGGATTCGGCAGAGAGAACATGCTGGAGGATCTTCCCCTAGTATTAAAGTGCCCCTATTATGAAATTTTTAAGGTTGCTAATATTGTTTCATGAGTCTCCTAAAACAGGTTTACATGCATGCAAGGTCAAAAAACACATTAGTTTTCTCAAAAAAAATTATTTAATTTTACCTCATTCTAAATGATTCGTAAACGACTCGTGCAAAGCAGTTCAAAGAATCAGTCTTTCTAAACCCCTACTTTCCGTGAGCCCTCACTGCTGTGATTGATCAGATGGTGCAGTCCTTTGTGATTGGTCCAGAGCCGTAGAGAGATTGATCTGGATTGGTCTACTGCGTACAGCGCGTGTCGGAAACGAAATGCCCATTGCCATGATGGAATGACAGCCCTGGAGACTTGTCAATACATAGAAAAGATGGTATCGATTGTACCTTACCAATTCGAGCCGGAGTCTGATGATGAAACAGTTGAAGCGGCTGATCGACAAGAGACTGATTCGCAAGCACGACTGGAGCAGGACGTTTCTAAATTATAAGATGTGATAAAACAAATGTACTCTCACAGCGTAGGATACAGCGTCTTCTCGACATGATGTTAACCACACGGAAATTTTACTGTTTGTGGGCGGGCAAGTTGGCGACGTAGAACGTGGACAGACATTATGCAAATGTGTTACTTTGTGATGTAGAGCCGTAACAGAATAAGATTCGAATTCCTGACGACTCGTTTAGGCGATTGCGCAACAGAATAAGATTCGAATTCCAGACGACTCGTTTAGGAGATTGCGAGCCGACTCTTTTTTTTGAAAGACAATAATTTTATTTATCGTGCACTGTCGGCTTCACAACTTTGCAGATAGTTTATGTTCACATACAGCTACATGACACTGCATGAAAGGTAATATTCGAAAAAGCATAATAGGAGCACTTTAAAAACTTGTGTGTCATCCTAGAATGACCAATTCTACAGCAGGTATAAACAATCTGGTCCCATTGGTTAGAAAATTGATAGAAAATTATTTTTCCAACACTGGGACTAATTTCATGGAGTTTATTCATTGTATATAGATCCCACTCTATTTGCCATTTGTTATTAACATAGGAACAAATTTTGACCTGCTCAGTATCAGCGGATTTCTCTGTAGATATAACCAGAAGTTACTAGCCATGATTTGGTTTAAATTCCAAATCCCAAGACAAAGCAATAATAATAATAATAATAATAACAATAATAATAATAATTATTATTATTACAACAACAACAACAACATGTATTATTATTAGGGATGTAACAATTAACCGCGAGCCGGTTGAAAATCGATTCAAATACGAGACGATTCAAATCGGTTGAGAAGCTAAACAAATCGCAATTCATTTAGGGGTAAGAGTTTATATGAATGTATGTCTGAGGGGAACTTACTGTCTTTATTTTGCACTTGTATCCAAAACGACTTACAAATGAGGACAATAGAAGCAATCAAAACCAGCAAAAGAGTAATTATATGCTATAAGTGCTATATTAGCATATTATTATTGTGTTATATTTCAATTTCACAAAGAAACGAGCAGCATTTTGTCCAAGCAATAATAGAAGGACACATTTAATTTATAATTTGTCTTAAATGTCATTTTGTAAAAAAAAAAAAAAATCGTGAATCGAATCGTGAGTTGAGTGAATCGTTACATCCCTAATTATTATTATTATTATTATTATTATTATTATTATTATACTTGGCTTTAATAATACTAATAATAGTTCTAGGGCTCTAAAATATTTTTCATTCTGGTATAAACTCTTTTTGGTTTAAAATTTTACTCTATTTTTTATTACATTTAGCTAATTAATGGTGTTTTCAAAACCAAGTATAATAATAATAATAATAATAATAATCCCAAATTGGCTTTAAATGCATCATTAATTGACTAAATTAATCATTAGTGATGCACAGGCCTAGAACCCTCATAACATTCATAATATTAGTACCAACGTATAATATAATTGGATGATTATTGAAACAATTTTTGCCTATCTTTTAAGGCATTTCACTGTAAACAGACAAACCCACATTCACTTAAATCAATTAAAAGTCAACTTGGAAGGATATTTGATAAGGGATGAGTCAATAAAGTCAGTGAAGAGCTCAGACTTTAGAGGTTGTCCAAGGGTCAAACCTCGGAATTCTGTAGTTTGATACTGAACAGACAGAAAGAAGCTCACTGTTAGTGCTGGAAACAACAGATTACTCTCTCCCTCTGATGCTTTGCGTGCAGAGTGACTACAGTGTTTCTGTGATTTGAGAAGACGTTTGGGGGTGGAATGAGTGCTATCAACAGACCACGCTTTCACACACTCTCGCAATCCACACAGGAAGCATTGTTAAGCTCTGTGCTGGAGTGACGACAATGACTGGGACGGCCAAAAGAAACACAACAACCCCACTGCCTCTTCTGCTGCCAAAGTACATCCAGATCATGTGTGCGTTCCTTCCAAAAAACGGTGCAAAAATGCTTTAATGGCACAAAACGTCAGCAGCTGGGCCTGTGATCAGAAGTGTACTTTCTAGGGTGTGAAGTGACGTTCGCGTCGGGTTATTAATGAGGTGCATCATTAATCACGAAGCTATGCTGTGGCCTTTTCCCAAAAGGTTTTGGGAAAACAGTCTCAGGGAGATCTTACAAAATAAAACAGATGTTACAATAGAGCACAACACTGATACTGTACACAAACACTTTCTTAAAGATGTCTCCTTCGTCCCCTTGACATTTCTGGTGGTTTGATTACGTAGATCTCGTCTGCAGAGCTGTGCATTTAAAAAAGTCAGGTGCTGGGAAAACAAGCACCCCACATACAGATCGAGTTTCTCCTGTGAACGCCTTTGAACTGAGGCCACCGTGATCAGGGGTTTTCTACAACTGAGATCAACATGGTTTGTGAGCAGATCTACTCTTTGGTTGATACCAACTCTAAAACCCCAGTGGAATACCTCCAACATCGTTCTTGTATTACATTTCAACAATTCCACAAGGCCTGCCATGTTACAGCACTCAAATAAGTCTGTTTTATCCATCAGCGCAGACCAATTGCCTCATGAGATTGAAATATGACAGACATATTAACTGTTTTGTACATTGCTGGAATGACAGTGTTTGAAAACCTACTGAGCTGCCTATCGAGTCAGCATTTTAGGGTGGTCATACACTGATTCTGTACACATTGGGTTATTTTGCTGGTAAACTGTGTATATAGTTTGAAAATGAAGTCAGCAAGATTTTTGTCAAAAATACAGTAGAATTGTGAAATCAAATAACTATTTATACTGTAATACACTTTTAAATATAATTTATTTCTATGATGCAAAGCTGAATTTACAGCATCACTTCTCCTGAAATCCTTCAGAAATCATTCTAATATGCTAATTTGCTGCTCAAGAAACCTTTCTTATTAGTATCAATGTTGAAAACAGTTGTGCAGCTTCATACTTTTGTGGAAACCATGCTACATTTTTTTTCAGGATTTTTTGATTAATAAAAAGTTCAAAAGAACAGTATTTATTTAAACGTGTAACATTATACAAGATGTTACGGTCACTTTTGAAAAATATAGTGCATCTTAAGTCTTAATTTCTTACAAAAGAATAAATCTTACTGATCCCATACTTTTCCTCATTTGGATAAAAGCATCTGCTAAATGCAAAATATTAACATTAGCATCATAATGGCCCTGAAAAACTCATGTTTATCTATGACAAAAACGCATTCTAGGTGGGCAGCTCGCTAGGTTTTTAAACACTGCCATAGCTTCTCATGTAGAAACAGCATACTAGGGACTAACCCAAACCCTAAAGGAACTAGAAGAACTTCCTAACAGATGTCGTTTCTTGACAAATGCTTTGGAGGAACAAAGAGTTTTACTTTCTAAAGCACTTTCTACATTATCTGTATGAGTGTACTGTATCGGACACTCACCACATCATAGCCGGTGGGAGCTCTGTTTCTCGAGGCCACAACCCCTACGCCAGTGATCGGGTCCATGGGCATCTCTGGCAGGGCGTCTGAAAGTTCCCGCACCTCAGGCATCATGGAGGAATTCTGAGGAGACAGGAGCATTAAAACGTTTACACGATAAACAACAAACCACTTGACAGAACATGTCGGATCCGTGTTTGTTTTGTCTACAAAAGCAGATGAATTTATTCTTTGTTAGACTCCGCCTCCCTTGGTTACGGTTGACAACTCAGAACATCCCATAGGAATGAACTGGGGATTTCCATATTTCTGTAAAATTAACTCAAAGTGCCATTTTTATCTGTCATTATACCTTACAGCAATTGTTCAATTATACCTGCAATGTGATAAATTGCAGTGACTGAAAAAGAGACAGGTCTCACTTGAAAGCAGTTACAAGTGAAAACATTACTATTTGTGAACCCTTTAGTCGCTATTGACATGCAATCAATACAAAAATGTAAAGCTGCTATTATTAAATTAACTTTACTCTACATTGGAATAAATGTAGGTGTTTTCACTGATGTTTGTTTGTGACAAACCACAGCATGAACTCAACATTTATTTAAAGCAGTGGTCCTCAACCCGCGGCCCGTCACGAATTCAAATGCGGCCCACCATGCTGAACACAATGAAAAAAATAACTTTCAGTTTTACAATTCATTTTAGTTTTTACATTAATTTAAAAATGTACTAAACAAATATAAGCTATAATGTTTTTGTTATGTAAAATAATTTTGTTTTTCATATATTATTTTCAGACATGAGCAGATCTGTAATTGCGTAATTAACGTTACGCATTTAACGAACACTTACAAGCGCGCACGTGGGCAGAATTAAATTCAAATAGTCATCAGCAGCCATTAGTTCTGTAAAATTGAGCATCAACTCACCGATGTCTTCACAGACATTTTCAACATCTCGCGAAGCCAGGCTGTTGTCCCCACATGCTTCAAAGCTACCACCATCATTCCAGTGCCAAAGAAGTCGTCTCCATCCTGCTTCAATGACTACCGTCCAGTTGCACTTACCCCCATCCTCATGAAGTGCTTTGAACGGCTAGTCATGCACCATATCAAGTCTGCCCTCCCACCCTCCCTGGACCCCTTCCAGTTTGCATATCGGTCCAACCGCTCGACCGATGACGCCATCGCCACTACCCACCACTCAGCACTCACACACCTGGACAAAAAAGACTCTCCTGCGTTTCCTCCGTTTTATGTTGAGAGGTCACTGGCGAATACACTCTGGGATGTCCGTTGGAAAACTCCCGTGTGCTCGGTTAAAAACGCGTTGCACGTCCGGCTTACAAATGTCGATTAAAGAGT